TGTCTATATCTGCAAATTACATAGATTCAATAGGTTAAAACATGGTCGAGGGGTGAGGAATGGTATAATTTAAAGGAAATGGGAATACATATGGTATTCATTGTATTTGAAAACATATGGTCCAGTGCATTGGATGCCCCTTTATTTTTGCTATTCCTATAGATTATACTATTTTTCATACCCACAACAACAGGCTCCATTTCGTTCCATGTTGTTTGCAAGATTTGAGCGCCCGAACTCTGCCTGGTACGCCCATTATAGGTGCGCATACTGCCCCGACTGCCCAACGCATCACTTTGATTGGTCCACTGCATTGGATGCCCCCTATTTTTTGCTAGTCCTCTATATTAGGCTATTTTTCACACCCACAACAGAAGGCTCCATTTCGTTCCATGTCGTTTGCAAGATTTGAGCGCCCGAACTCTGTCGGGTACGCCCATTATAAGTGCGCATACTGCCCCGATTGCCCAATGCATTACTTTTGATTGGTCCACTGCATTGGATGCCCCTTTTTTTTTCACTAGTCCTCTAGACTAGACTATTTTCCAAACCCACAAGTGGCTCAATTTCGTTTCATGTCGTTTGCAAGAATTGAGCGCCCAAACTCTGCCTAGTACGCTCCGAACGAGCGCTACTACCCCCAAAACGCGGAAGGATCCGCACATGTGCACGAAGTGCAGCGGGCGCTCTTCATTCGCGAGCGCCGATGACCGATGATGCTCGCAACCTTCCCACGCCCTTGCTGGCTTGGCAAGAGGACCAGACAAGCGCAGCCACTTGACCCGGCGGAAGAAAAACGCTCGGAACGAGTGCTTCCACCCCCAAAACGCGGAAGGATCTGCACATGTGCAGGAAGTGCAGCGGGCGCTCTTCATTCGCGAGCGCCGATGACCGATGATGCTCGCAACCCTCCCACGCCCTTGCTTGCTTGGCAAGAGGACCAGACAAGCGCAGCCACGTGACCCAGTGGAAGAAAAACGCTCGGAACAAGCGCTAGTACCCCCAAAACGTCCGCACATGTGCACGAAGTGCAGCGGGCGCTTTTCATTCGCGAGCGCCGATGACCGATGATGCTCGCAACCCTCCCACGCCCTTGCTGGCATGGCAAGAGGACCAGACAAGCGCAGCCACTTGACCCGGCGGAAGAAAAACGCTTGGAACGAGCGCCTCCACCCCCAAAACGCGGAAGGATCCACACATGTGTAGGAAGTGCAGCGGACCTCATCATTCGCGAGAGCCGATGACCGATGATGCTCGCAACCCTCCCACGCCCTTGCTAGCTTGGCAAGAGGACCAGACAAGCGCAGCCACGTGACCCGGCAGAAGAAAAACGCTCGGAACGAGCGTTAGTACCCCCAAAACGCGGAAGGATCCGCACATGTGCAGGAAGTGCAGCGGGCGCTCTTCATTCGCGAGCGCCGATGACCGATGATGCTCGCAACCCTCCCACGCCCTTGCTGGCTTGGCAAGAGGACTAGAAAAGTGCAGCCACATGGCCCGGCGGAAAAAAAACGCTCGGAACGAGCGCCTCCACACCCGTAACGCGGAAGGATATGCACATGTGCAGGAAGTGCAGCGGGCGCTCTTCATTCGCGAGCGCCGATGACCAATGATGCTCGCAACCCTCCCACGCCCTTGCTGGCTTCGCAAGAGGACCAGACAAGCGCAGCCACGTGACTTGGTGGAAGAAAAACGCTCGAAACGAACGCTAGTATCCCCAAAACGCGGAAGGAACCGCACATGTGCACGAAGTGCAGCGGGCGCTCTTCATTCGCGAGCGCCGATGACCGATGATGCTTGCAACCCTCCCACGCCCTTGTTGGCTTAGTAAGAGGACCAGACAAACGCAGCCATGCGACCCGGCGGAATAAAAACGCTCGGAACGAGCGCCTCCACCCCCAAAACGCGGAAGGATCCGCACATGTGCAGGAAGTGCAGCGGGCGCTCTTCATTCACGAGCGCCGATGACCGATGATGCTCGCAACCCTCCCACGCCCTTGCTGGCTTGGCAAGAGGATCAGACAAGCGCAGCCACGTGATCTGTTGGAAGAAAAACGCTCGGAATGAGCGCTACCACCCCCAAAACGCGGAAGGATCCGCACATGTGCACGAAGTGCAGCGGGCGCTCTTCATTCGCGAGCGCTGATGACCGATGATGCTCGCAACCCTCCCACGCCCTTGCTGGCTTAGCAAGAGGACCAGACAAGCGCAGCCACGTGATCCGGTGGAAGAAAAACGCTCGGAACTGTTAAACATTATAATGCTGTAGTTATGTAGGCTACAGTGGGTTTGGTTATAGGGGGTACAGTTTGTTAGGGTTTTGTACTTGTACTCCCAACCTTCCTAGTGCACACATTCCTCTCTTCTTTAACATGGTACAGAGCAGGTTCCCTAGTGGGACCATCTCTTCCTAGGGCCCACCTTGAAGAACCTTTTTTTTTAGCTGCCCGAAGCGCATTTCCGGCCTGCCCGAAATTTACGGCCCCTTAGCGGTCCCTCCCTAGCCCGTCGCCGCCCCTTAGCCGCCCGTCGCGGCCCCTTACCCGCCCGTCGCGGCCCCTTACCCGCCGTCGCGGCCGCTTAGCCGCCCGTCGCGGCCCCTTAGCCGCCCGCCGTCGCGGCCCCTTACCCTCCCGTCGCGGCCCCTTACCCGCTGTCGCGGCCCCTTACCCGCCCGTCGCGGCCCCTTACCCGCCGTCGCGGCCCCTTAGCCGCCCGTCGCGGCCCCTTAGCCGCCCGCCGTCGCGGCCCCTTACCCTCCTGACGCGGCCCCTTACCCGCCGTCGCGGCCCCTTAGCCGCTCGTCGCGGCCCCTTAGCCGCCCGTCGCGGCCCCTTTCCCGCCGTCGCGGCCCCTTACCCGCCCGTCGCGGCCCCTTACCTACCGTCGCGGCCCCTTAGCCGCCCGTCGCGGCCCCTCCCTAGCCCGTCGCGGCCCCTCCCTAGCCCGTCGCGGCCCCTCCCTAGCTCGTCGCGGCCCCTTTAGCCGCCTGTCGCGGCCCCTTAGCCGCCCGTCGCGGCCCCTGGCGGCCCCCCACGCCGCTCTTTCGCAGCCCTGCAGCAGCCGCCGCTGGAACAGCCGCCCCTGCAGCAGCCGCCCCAGTCCACTGCAGCAGCCGCCCCTACAGCAGCCGTCCCAGGCCACTGCAGCAGCCGCCCCTGCAGCAGCCGCCCCTGGCCCCTGGAGCAGCCGCCCCTGCAGCAGCCGCCCCTGGCCCCTGGAGCAGCCGCCCCTGCAGCAGCCGCCCCTGGCCCCTGGAGCAGCCGCCCCTGCAGCAGCCGCCCCTGGCCCCTGGAGCAGCCGCCCCTGCAGCAGCTGCCCTTGGCCCCTGGAGCAGCCGCCCCTGCAGCAGCCGCCCCTGGCCCCTGGAGCAGCCGCCCCTGCAGCAGCCGCCCCTGGCCCCTGGCCCAGCCAACCCTGCAGCAGCCGCCCCTGGCCACTGGAGCAGCCGCCCCTGCAGCAGCCGCCCCTGGCCCCTGGAGCAGCCGCCCCTGCAGCAGCTGCCCTTGGCCCCTGGAGCAGCCGCCCCTGCAGCAGCCGCCCCTGGCCCCTGGAGCAGCCGCCCCTGGAGCAGCTGGACCCTGCAGCTGCCGCGGAGCCCTCGCCCTGCAGTGGTGCTGGCCCTGCGGTTGTGGCCGTCGTACGCCTACCTTTCTTGCCACTGTTGAGCAGTGTCCTGCCCGTACTGCTGTTACTGCTGCTCCTGCTGCTACTGCTCTTTCTACTCCTACTGCTGCTAGTGCTGCTACTGCTGCTCTTGCTGCTACTGCTGCTACTACTGTTCGTGCTGCCCCTACGGCTCCTCCCCTCTCTACTGCTCCTGCTGCTCCTGGCGTGGCCAGATGCAGCTCCAGCGCCGTCCGCGTGAGTCCCTCACGCCCCCACAGCTTCATGAGTGGTACGCTCGCTGGGGTTGTCGGGGTGGCCGTCGTGGGAGTCGTTCTGGCGTGAGTAGTTTCGGGGCTTCTTGTAGTGGCCAGGTGCAGCTGCAGCGTCGTGTGCGCGCGGTCCCTTCGCCCCCGCAGCTTCATGAGTGGTACTTTCAGCGGGGGGGGTCACGGGGTTCTGCTCGCTGCCCGTACGTCATTCGCACTGGTGCTCGGACTGGCCAGCCTTGCGGGACGTTTGGTCACACAGAGTCCCGCTGCTTCGCCAGTCTGAGCGACGCCTGGCGTACGGAGTTTGGCGACGCGGCTGAGCTCCCCGACTGGGTGGAGCTGCTCCGGTGGAGGGTAGATATCTATGCTCTTGACTTTGATGCTATCCTCACTGCCATGTATGCATTGTCTACTAGTGATGTCGGTGACTGTTCCCTGAGTGCTCCGCCCGACCCGGGCGGTGCAGCTGCTGCTCTAGGTGCTAGTGAGTCTGCTGCTCCAGGTGCTAGTGAGTCTGCTGCTCCAGGTGCTAGTGAGTCTGCTGCTCCAGGTACTGGTGAGTCTGCTCTCTCAGGTACCACGTCTGCTCCGGCGTCGCACACTTTCACCCTTGACTCGGGTGCTTCCCGCTCCTTCTTTCGAGACCGCACCACCCTCACGCCGCTCAGTCGGCCGGTTGCGGTCTCCCTGGCAGACCCCTCTGGGGGTCCTGTTCTTGCCCACTACTCCACTGTACTACCGTGTCCAGCGGTCCCGTCTGGCTCCCTGTCGGGTCTTTACCTCCCCTCGTTCTCTACGAACTTGGTGGCGGGTGCTGACCTACAGGATGGGGGGGTTGACCAGTTCACCCCTGCGCGTCAGCGGGTGACCCACTGCACGTGTGCAGACACGGGCCGACACTTGGCCACGTTTACTCGTCGGCCGGGGTCGAGCCTGTACACCCTCACTACCGAGTCTCCTCCGGTTGCTGTGCCTGGTCAGGTAGCTGCGTCGGGTCAGGTATTTGCTACGGCGTCTCGGTCTGGTCCTGAGTCTGCCCCCTGCTCGTGTCGCCTCCTGTCCCACGAGACTCTTCTCTGGCACCACCGTCTTGGTCACCCCTCCCTGCCTCGTCTCCGAGGCATGGCCTCTCGTGTCCTGGTCTCTGGTCTTCCCCGGTCGCTCCCTCCCCTCCCCCCGGGGCCTGCCTCTACCCGCGTCCCCTGCGTCAAGGGGCGGCAGCGCGCCGCTCCTCACTCCTCCGAGTTTCCGCCGACAGAGGCTCCGCTGCAGACTCTTCACATGGACGTGTGGGGCCCAGCCCGCGTCCGTGGACAGGGTCATGAGCGTTACTTCCTCCTGGTGATTGACGACTACTCGCGTTACACCACAGTCTTCCCCTTGCGCCGCAAGGATGAGGTCACTGAGGTGTTGATCGACTGGATCCGCGCTGCTCGTCTCCAGCTCAGGAAGAGTTTCCGCTCTGACTTTCCTGTTTTGCGTCTGCACTCCGACAGAGGTGGGGAGTTTTCCTCCGGCCCTCTGCGAGCCTTCTGTCGTGCGAGGGGCATCCGCCAGACGTTCACGCTTCCGGCCTCTCCACAGCAAAATGGGATTGCTGAGCGCCGCATTGGCATGGTCATGGACGTCGCTCGTACGTCCATGATCCATGCGGCTGCTCCCCATTTTCTGTGGCCGTTTGCGGTTCAGTACGCGGCGCGTCAGATCAACCTTCAGCCCCGGGTCTCCATGCCGGGGACCTCCCCCACTCTGCTGTGGACGGGGAAGGTTGGCGATGCGTCTGCGTTCCGTGTCTGGGGATCTCGGGCTTTTGTCCGAGACTTGTCTGCGGACAAGATGTCCTCCCGTGCTGTTCCCTGCGTCTTCCTTGGCTTCCCCCCTGACGCGCCTGGTTGGCAGTTTTACCACCCCACCTCGCGCCGTGTTCTGTCCTCCCAGGACGTCACGTTTGACGAGTCGGTTCCGTACTACCGTCTCTTCCCCTACCGCGCTGCCCCCCTCCCCCCCCTCGCCGCTCTTCCTTACGCCAGGTCCCCCCCCGGTAGACCCCCTCCCCCCTCAGGGTCCTGCTCCTTCAGGTGTGTCTCAGGTAGACCCCCCCCCCTTGGCTGAGCCTTTGGAGGTCACTTCCGACACCTCTGGCCCACCCGAGGGGGGTGACGCTGCTGCTGGCGCCCCGTCGGCCTACCGCCGCGCACCACGCTTGGAGACCCCTCCGGGGTTCCCCCCGCGACCTTCTTCACCGCCTATACAGCCGGTTACTGTTGACTCTGGTGCTGCTGGGGGTGGTGCTCCTGGAGGTGCTGCGTCTGGGGGTGCGGAGTCTGGGGGTGCTGAGCCTGCGCGTGAGGAGACTGGAGGTCCTGCGCCTGGGGGTGCTGTGTCTGTGGGTGCTGAGCGTGTGTGTGCGGAGTCTGGGGGTGCTGAGTCTGGCGGTGAGACGCTTGAGGGTACTGGGACTGCTGGTGCGCGGCCTACTTGGAGTGGCCGCCTTCGTCCGCGTGTGCCTCTCACCACTCAGCAGCTGCACGACTGGTACGGTCGCCGTCAGCGTCGCGCTGCTGGAGCCCGGGACTCTGCTGCTCGAGGTACTGGAGCTGCTGGGGCTGGGGGTGCTGCGCCTGGAGGTGCTGCTGTGGGAGACGCTGCGGTTGGAGACCCTGGGACTGGAGGTGCTGGTTCTGGGGGTGCTGCTGCGGGAGACGCTGCGGCTGGAGACCCTGGGACTGGAGGTGCTGGTTCTGGGGGTGCTGCTGCGGGAGACACTGCGGTTGGAGACCCTGGGACTGGAGGTGCTGGTTCTAGGGGTGCTGCTGCGGGAGACGCTGCGGTTGGAGACCCTGGGACTGGAGGTGCTGGTTCTGGGGGTGCTGCTACGGGAGACACTGCGGCTGGAGACCCTGGGACTGGAGGTGCTGGTTCTGGGGGTGCTGCTGCGGGAGACACTGCGGTTGGAGACCCTGGGACTGCAGGTGCCGGTTCTGGGGGTGCGGCTGCTGGTGACGCTGGTTCTGGAGCTGCTGGCGCTGGAGGTACCGGTTCTGAGGCTGGAGCTTCTGGAGCTGCTGGAGGCGCTGGCGCTGCTGGAGGTGCTGGCGCTGCTGGAGGTGCTGGAGGTGCTGGAGCTGCCGGAGCTGGTGCAGCTGCGCCGACACGACTGTTCTTCGCTCCGCCGTCTCCGTCGTCTCTGCCGCCGCCTGACTCTGCTCTTCGTCAGGTTGTTACTCTCCCGTCGTCTACTGGTCTTCCGTTACAGACTGGCTCACCGCTACCTGCTCCCTCTCCTTACACTGAGCAGACAGGCAGTCCTGCTACGCGTCGTGAGCCTGCGTCGCGTCCTGTCTCGCCTGTTCGTTCTGGTCGTCCCGTTCGTCATGTCGCTCGTGCGCGTCAGCCGGCTGTCCCCAGCGCACACCTTGTTGTCCGTCGTCCTTCCTCTGTTCCGCAGTCTGTTCCTCTGCCGTCTCCCCCTGCGTCCTCTCTGCCTGCCGTTCCGGACCCTGCGTCTGACCGGTTTCGTGCTGAGCACCCTACTGTCACGCGTCTGTTAGCCACTGTTGTCACTGACCCGTCGTTTGAGTCTACTGCTGCGTCTGCCTTAGTCGCTGAGCTTGTCGACTTTGCTGCTGCCTGTCGTCTCGACTACGCCGCTAGTCTTGTTGCTGAGTCTGAGTCTGTCTGTCCTCCGTCCATCGGGGGTGAGTGTGCTCTTAGCACGGACGTCCTTGAGGACAGGCAGGAGGAGTTCCAGTGTCTTGCTACTGCTTTACCTCATCTTGTGTCCTCGCTGCTTGCCCCTGAGGGAGACCCGGATGCACTAGACATCCCGACTCCGCGATCTTACGCGGAGGCGATAGAGGGTCCCTACTCCTCTCAGTGGCAGGCAGCCATGGACGCAGAGATGGCTTCCTGGAAGTCCACAGGCACCTACATTGACGAGGTTCCCCCACCTGGGGCGAACATCGTCAGTGGCATGTGGATTTTCAGGGTAAAGCGGCCGCCAGGTTCTCCGCCTGTCTTCAAGGCACGTTACGTGGCTCGAGGCTTCAGTCAGCGGCAGGGAGTTGACTACTTTCAGACCTTCTCTCCCACCCCGAAGATGACTACTCTTCGGGTGCTGCTACACATAGCCGCGCATCGTGACTACGAACTTCACTCTCTGGACTTCAGCACAGCCTTCTTACAGGGCAGCCTGCACGAGGAGATCTGGCTGCGCCGCCCACCTGGCTTCACTGGGACGTTTCCTCCTGGCACCCAGTGGAGCCTCCGGCGGCCGGTCTACGGTCTCCGCCAGGCGCCATGTGAGTGGCACGACACACTGAGGACTACGCTTGCGGCTCTTGGGTTTGCTCCTTCTACTGCAGACCCGTCGCTGTTTCTACGCACCGACACCTCCTTGCCGCCGTTCTACATCCTCGTGTACGTCGACGACTTGGTCTTTGCTACAGCTGACACTGCTGGACTCGCCCACGTGAAGTCCGAGCTGCAGAAGCGACACACGTGCACAGACCTGGGTGAACTGCGCAGCTATCTTGGCTTGCAGATCACTCGGGACAGAGCACGGCGCACCATCACCCTGACTCAGTCACACATGGTGCAGCAGGTCCTTCAGCGCTTCGACTTCACGTACTCCTCGCCTCAGGCCACTCCTCTGTCTACTCGCCACTCGCTCTCAGCTCTGCCTTCGGATGAGTCCGTAGAGCCGAGTGGCCCGTACCCAGAGCTTGTTGGCTGCCTCATGTACCTGATGACCTGCACTCGACCTGACCTGGCCTACCCTCTTAGCATCCTGGCACGCTATGTTGCTCCTGGGAGACACCGACCAGAGCACATGGCTGCAGCGAAGAGGGTTTTGCGCTACTTGTGCAGTACATCGGGCATGGGGCTTGTGCTTGGAGGGCGGAGTCGAGTGGTTCTTACGGGTCACGCAGACGCGTCTTGGGTCGACGACCTGGCTACGCAGCGGTCGTCACAGGGTTACACCTTCAGCCTTGGTTCCGGCTCTGTTTCGTGGCGGTCCACCCGCTCGTCTTCTGTTCTCAGCTCCAGTTGTGAGGCTGAGATCTACGCGGGAGCCATGGCTGCTCAGGAGTTACGCTGGCTGACCTACCTGCTGACTGACCTTGGAGAGCCGCCTCGTTCTCCTCCAGTCCTGTACGTAGACAACAAGGCCATGCTGGCCTTGTGTCGGGAGCACAGACTGGAGCACAGAACGAAGCACATTGCTCTTCGTTACTTCCTTGCTCGTGAGCTGCAGCAGCGTGGTCAGCTGCGCCTTGCTTACGTGGCCTCTCAGGCCAACACTGCTGATATCTTCACCAAGGCACTTCAGCCTTGTGATCATCAGCGCTTTTGTACGTTGCTAGGTCTTGTGCCTACTTTGCCTCACTTGCTCACTTCTTGACCTCGCTTGTACTGTGATATATATATCTATACCTGCTCTTGTTTGTTTACCTTCATATATAATCTTGCATGTGAACTGGCCTTATGGCCTTGAAACGATGCTCGGAATGTGTGGTGACATTGTGATCCACCCTGAGCTTACCTTGCTTTGCTTGACTGGTCTTGTGACCACTTGTTCTCCCCCACTTTGCCTATGGGGGTGTGTTAAACATTATATGCTGTAGTTATGTAAGCTACAGTGGGTTTGGTTATAGGGGGTACAGTTTGTTAGGGTTTTGTACTTGTACTCCCAACCTTCCTAGTGCACACATTCCTCTCTTCTTTAACAGGAACGAGCGCTAGTAACCCAAAAACGCGGAAGGATCCACACATGTGCAAGAAGTGCAGCGGGCGCTCTTCATTCGCAAGCGCCGATGACCAATGATGCTCGCAACCCTCCCACGCCCTTGCTGGCTTTACAAGACGACCAGACAAGCACAGCCACGTGACCCGGTGGAAGAAAAACGCTCGGAACGAGCGCTAGTACCCCCAAAACGCGGAAGGATCCGCACGCACATGTGCACGAAGTGCAGCGGGCGCTCTTCATTCGCGAGTGCCGATGACCGATGATGCTCGAAACCCTGCCGTGCCCTTGCTGGCTTGGCAAGAGGACCAGACAAGCGCAGCCACGTGACCCGGTGGAAGAAAAACGCTCGGAACGAGCGCTAGTACCCCCAAAACGCGGAAGGATCCGCACATGTAGACGAAGTGCAGCGGGCGCTCTTCATTCGCGAGCGCTGATGACCGATGATGCTCGCAACCCTCCCACGCCCTTGCTAGCTTGGCAAGAGGACCAGACAAGCGCAGCCACGTGACCCGGTGGAAGAAAAACGCTCGGAACGAGCGCTAGTACCCCCAAAACGCGGAAGGATCCGCACATGTGCACGAAGTGCAGCGGGCGCTCTTCATTCGCGAGCGCCAATGACCGATGATGCTCGCAACCCTCCCACGCCCTTGCTGGCTTGGCAAGAGGACCAGACAAGCGCAGCCACGTGACCCGGTGGAAGAAAAACGCTCGGAACGAGCGCTAGTACCCCCAAAACGCGGAAGGATCCGCACATGTGCACGAAGTGCAGCGGGCGCTCTTCATTCGCGAGCGCCGATGACCGATGATGCTCGCAACCCTCCCACGCCCTTGTTGGCTTGGCAAGAGGACCAGACAAGCGCAGCCACGTGACCCGGCGGAAGAAAAATGCTCGGAACGTGCGCCTCCACCCACAAAACGCGGAAGGATCCGCACATGTGCAAGAAGTGCAGCGGGCGCTCCTTATTCACGAGCGCCGATGTCCTATGATGCTCGCAACCCTCCCACGCCCTTGCTGGCTTGGCAAGAGGACAAGACAAGCGCAGCCACGTGATCTGTTGGAAGAAAAACGCTCGGAATGAGCGCTACCACCCCCAAAACGCGGAAGGATCCGCACATGTGCAGGAAGTGCAGCGGGCGCTCTTCATTCGCGAGCGCCGATGACCGATGATGCTCGCAACCCTCCCACGCCCTTGCTGGCTTGGCAAGAGGACCAGACAAGCGTAGCCACGTGACCCGGTGGAAGAAAAACGCTCGGAACGAGCGCTAGTACCCCCAAAACGCGGAAGGATCCGCACATGTGCACGAAGTGTAGTGGGCGCTCTTCATTCGCGAGCGCTGATGACCGATGATGCTCCCACGCCCTTGCTGGCTTGGCAAGAGGACCAGAAAAGCGCAGCCACATGACCCTGCGGAAGAAAAACGCTTGGAACGAGCGCCTCCACCCCCAAAACGCGGAAGGATCCGCACGTGTGCAGGAAGTGCAGCGGGCGCTCTTCATTCGCGAGCGCCGATGACCGATGATGCTCGCAACCCTCCCACGCCCTTGCTGGCTTGGCAAGACGACCAAAAAAGCGCAGGCACATGACCCGGTGGAAGAAAAACGCTCGGAACGAGCGCTAGTACCCCCAAAACGCGGAAGGATCCGCACATGTAGACGAAATGCTCTATGAGTCGACACTTTTTATGAGTCGACACTTTGTTAGTCGACACTCTCTATGAGTCGACACTCTCAATGAGTCGACACTTTGTTAGTCGACACTCTCTATGAGTCGACACTTTGTTGGTCGACACTCTCTAAAAGTTGACACTCTTTATGAAACGACTCGTCGCTAGTCGACACTTTCTATGAGTCGACACTCTCTATGAGTCGACACTTTGTTAGTTGACACTCTCTATGAGTCTTCACTCTCTATGAGTCGACACTATATTGGTCGACACTCTCTATGAGTCGACACTCCCTATGACTCGACACTTTGTTAGTCGACACTCTCTATGAGTCGACACTTTTTATGAGTCGACACTTTGTTAGTCGACACTCTCTATGAGTCGACACTCTCAATGAGTCGACACTTTGTTAGTCGACACTCTCTATGAGGCGACACTCTCTATGAGTCGACACTATGTTGGTCGACACTCTCAATGAGTCGACACTTTGTTAGTCGACACTCTCTATGAGTCGACACTTTGTTAGTTGACACTATCTATGAGTCGACCCTTTGTTAGTCGACACTCTCTATGAGTCGACACTTTGTTGGTCGACACTCTCTATGAGTCGACACTCCCTATGACTTGACACTTTGTTAGTCGACACTCTCTATGAGTCGACACTTTCTATGACTCGACACTTTGAAAGTCGACACTCTCTATGAGTCGACACTCTCAATGAGTCGACACTTTGTTAGTCGACACTCTCTATGAGTCGACACTTTGTTAGTCGACACTCTCTATGAGTCGACACTCTCTAAGAGTTGACACATTGTTGGTCGACACTCTCCATGAGTCGACACTCTCTATGAGTCGACACTATGTTGGTCGACACTCTCTATGAGTCGACACTCTCTATGAGTCGACACTCTCTATGAGTCGACACTAATTTAGTCGACACTCTCTATGAGTCGACACTTTTTATGAGTCGACACTTTGTTAGTCGACACTCTCTATGAGTCGACACTCTCTATGAGTCGACACTTTGTTAGTCGATACTGTTTATGAGTTGATGCTCTCTAAGAGTCGACACATTGTTAGTCGACACTCTCTATGAGTCGACACTTTTTATGAGTCGACACTTTGTTAGTCGACACTCTCTATGAGTCGACACTCTCAATGAGTCGACACTCTCTATGAGTCGACACGCTATACGAGTCGACACTTTGTTAGTCGACACTCTCTATGAGTCGACACTCTCAATGAGTCGACACTTTGTTAGTCGACACTCTTTTGCTCTTCAAGAGTCGACACATTGTTAGTCGACACTCTCTATGAGTCGACACTTTTTATGAGTCGACACTTTGTTAGTCGACACTCTCTATGAGTCGACACCCTCAATAAGTCGACACTTTGTTAGTCGACACTCTCTATGAGTCGACACTCTATACGAGTCGACACTTTGTTAGTCGACACTCTCTATGAGTCGACACTTTGTTAGTCGACGCTCTTTATGAGTTGGTGGTCTCTAAGAGTCGACACATTGTTAGTCGACACTCTCTATGAGTCGACACTTTTTATGAGTCGACACTTTGTTAGTCGACACTCTCTATGAGTCGACACTTTGTTAGTTGACACTCTCTATGAGTCGACCCTTTATTAGTCGACACTCTCTATGAGTCGACACTTTGTTGGTCGACACTCTCTATCAGTCGACACTCCCTATGACTTGACACTTTGTTAGTCGACACTCTCTATGAGTCGACACTTTCTATGACTCGACACTTTGACAGTCGACACTCTCTATGAGTCGACACTTTTTATGAGTCGACACTTTGTTAGTCGACACTCTCTATGAGTCGACACTCTCAATGAGTCGACACTTTGTTAGTCGACACTCTCTATGAGTCGACACTTTGTTGGTCGACACTCTCTAAAAGTTGACACTCTTAATGAAACGACTCGTCGCTAGTCGACACTTTCTATGAGTCGACACTCTCTATGAGTCGACACTTTGTTAGTTGACACTCTCTATGAGTCTTCACTCTCTATGAGTCGACACTATGTTGGTCGACACTCTCTATGAGTCGACACTCCCTATGACTCGACACTTTGTTAGTCGACACTCTCTATGAGTCGACACTTTTTATGAGTCGACACTTTGTTAGTCGACACTCTCTATGAGTCGACACTCTCAATGAGTCGACACTTTGTTAGTCGACACTCTCTATGAGGCGACACTCTCTATGAGTCGACACTATGTTGGTCGACACTCTCTATGACTCGACACTTTGTTAGTCGACACTCTCTATGAGTCGACACTCTCAATGAGTCGACACTTTGTTAGTCGACACTCTCTATGAGTCGACACTTTGTTAGTCGACACTCTCTATGAGTCGACACTCTCTAAGAGTTGACACATTGTTGGTCGACACTCTCCATGAGTCGACACTCTCTATGAGTCGACACTATGTTGGTCGACACTCTCTATGAGTCGACACTAAGTTAGTCGACACTCTCTATGAGTCGACACTTTTTATGAGTCGACACTTTGTTAGTCGACACTCTCTATGAGTCGACACTCTCTATGAGTCGACACTTTGTTAGTCGACACTCTCTATGAGTTGATGCTCTCTAAGAGTCGACACATTGTTAGTCGACACTCTCTATGAGTCGACACTTTTTATGAGTCGACACTTTGTTAGTCGACACTCTCTATGAGTCGACACTCTCAATGAGTCGACACTTTGTTAGTCGACACTCTCTATGAGTCGACACGCTATACGAGTCGACACTTTGTTAGTCGACACTCTCTATGAGTCGACACTCTCTATGAGTCGACACTCTCTATGAGTCGACACTTTGTTAGTCGACACTCTCTATGAGTTGATGCTCTTTAAGAGTCGACACATTGTTAGTCGACACTCTCTATGAGTCGACACTTTTTATGAGTCGACACTTTGTTAGTCGACACTCTCTATGAGTCGACACCCTCAATAAGTCGACACTTT